CGCAGTGAACTAACTTATTGAATACTGAGTACTGGTTCGAAGCAGCGAGTAGAGTTTCCTCTGTGTGGCTGCATCATTCCTCGCTCTTGGACATCTACTCCATATTTATCGTTCCGCTCTCTATATTTTGCCTCTGCTAAGTGTTTGTCTAGGAGCTTCTTAAATTCGGACACCGAGTTCGCCTCTACTGTGTGCTGCGGCAGGTCGTTCCAGACATTCACCACTCTGCGTTCGAAACAGATTTGGTGAGCGACCCGCTTCAACTCCGGTACGATAAGTTTGTACCGGTGTCCTCGCGTGCAGCTTGGTGTGCGCAGATGAAGCAGTTGTCTCAACATGGGGTAATCACTCAGATGTAATATCCGGTGCGTCATGATGAGGTCAACCCTCAGCCGACGATATGCTAGGGTGTACAGCCCTAGTTTCCTGCATTGGTCTTCGTATGGCATACCTCGTAAGTTGGGAGTCAGCCTGGTGGCTACATGCACTCGCTCAAGTTTTTCTACCTCGCCCCGGGTGATGGGACAATACGCGAGAGAGCCGTACTCTATCATTGATTTTATTATCGAGACGAAGAGGCGAGTGGCGATCTTTACGGACCAAGTGCTGAAGCTGCGCCTGAGGGCCCAAAGCATCCGAAGACTGTTTTGTTACAGTCTATTCGTGTTGTCAATGGACTTTAGGTCGCAGCGCAAGAGCACACCGAGGTCGCGCACGAAAGGCGCGGGCTGTACCGGTTGATCAGCCACTGTGTAAGTTCGGCTGTGCTCACACTTATCCAACCTTATATATTGCGACTTGGCAGTGTTGATCGGAAGGTCGCCCTCCGCAGACCATGTCGAGAGGCGGTCGAGGTCCTGCTGAAGTAAATCACAATCATTAAGTGTGCGGATTACTTTCCACACCTTCAAGTCATCTGCGAACAACGCACAAGGTGATTGGAGTAGCTGAGGCACATCGTTTACATGGATCAGAAACAATATCGGCCCAGTACAGTGCCTTGGGGCACGCCGCTGCTCGATGGATACCAGTCAGTTAGATGGTTGTCCACCTAGACCCTCCACTTTCGATCACCAAGGAAATTTCTGATCCATTTGTGTAGCGAACCACCAACACCGCACATCCTCAGGCTGTCAAGGAGCACTGCATGGTTAGCCTTGTCAAAAGCCTTACTGAAGTCAATGTAAATGATGTCGATCGGCTGGCCTTGGTTCAGCGCTTGTAACCATTCGTACCTCGTCAACGGCAGGTTGGTGATGCACGAGCGACTTTTCATGAAACCATGCTGTGCGGAAGTTAACAGGTTTTTCGACTCGAGAAGCTGCAGAAGGCTCTTCTTCACGATCATCTCGAGCGTCTTTGCCAAAACAGCGGTCAAGCAGATCGGCCGGTAGTTATCCACTTTGCTTGGGTTACCACCTTTCGCTATTGGCTTTACGACTGAGCATTTCCAGTCGTCCGGTAACAGTCCAGTGGATAGTGACCTGTTAAACAGTTCAGTTACAGAAGGCGCGATGATGGCCGATAGGGACTTGAGGATCAGTGGGTGTATACCATCTGGCCCAGCAGGCTTCGTCCCGTCAAGATTTGCTAGAAGCTTGCGTACATCCTCAATATTGCAGTCCAGGCTGTTAAGTTCGGCTGGAGCGGTACTCGTCGAACTCGTTACAGACACCTGGTCACTTGCAAATACGGAGGCGAAGTGCGCCGCCAATGCGGACGCACGATCTGTACTCGAGGTTAGGGGCTGTCCTTCTGAGCCTTCTAACACTGGGACATTGGCTACAGGCCTCAGGCGCCGCTTCACGAATGCGAAGATCCTCTTGGGAGCATTTTTTGCGACCGTTGCAAGCTCCTCTTCGAAGCTTTTGCGTTTTCTTGTTTTAGCGTTGTTGCAGCGATTTCGCTGTACCTTGTACGCCTTGTAGTCCTCATCAGAATTTGTTCCATAGTCTGCGTCGTCGTCGGGCCAGTTTGTTGTACTCTTTGTCGAATCAATGTGGTTTGATTGACCCAACTTTCCGATATTTGAGAGGTACAAATCGGGTGCACAATGATTTCACTCCCTCTTTAATGATAGTCCAACAGGTTTCAATAGATGAATCCTGTGGTAAAGACCAGTCTCTCTTGCTCGCTGCTCGAATGAGGCCATTAAAGTCTGCATTCCAATAGTTGAAGTCTGACTCCAGTGGGGGAGAATACGGCAACGGTAGTTCCAAGCTGCCTATGATCACCGAGTGGTCGCTCGCTCCCAGAGGTTCTAAGACTTGAATGTTATGCACACGCTGCTCACAGCTAGTCAAAAGCATGTCTAAGCACGATGGAGTCGCGCGCGCAGTAATGCGTGTCGGTTGGTTGATGTGCTGTGTGACCCAGGTTTCAAATAGCAACTCCGTGAACTTCCTCTCGGCTTCACAATGGCCGGGGAAAAGTTCAACTTCAGGCCACTGTATTCGGGGCAAGTTGAAATCGCCCATGAGTAGGAACATCTGACGACTCATGTGGTTGCGGACATGCGGCAACCAGTCCAAACAGCGGCACAGTGGACTGCGATCTACCACGCCCACGAGCAACTCGCAGCGTCTGAGGTGAATCGAACACCATAACTGCTCGCATAGACCATCAGCGCTTTGGTAGGCGCTCACTAGTCTCCCACACAAAGAAGACTTTATGTAAAGTAGAACGCCACCGCGAACCTTTGATGGTCTATCACAGCTGAAGCATGAGTAGCCGGTGATTTCCAGTTCTTGGGCAGTTACCTCGGAGTTTAACCATGTTTCAGCAAGGTCTGGTCGCTGAGAGCTTACAAAGTCGTACAGCACATTGCGCTTGTTCATCAGACTGCACACGTTAGTAAAGGCTACGCGCCGGCTCCCAATGGGCGCGATTCCCTGAATTCGCTCCGCTGCCTTGCGGACAGGCTATTCAGCCAAAGGCTCGGGGTGGTGTCCCCTAAGTCAACACCCTACTTCGGCTTGGGCAACCGGGTAGTATTTCGCCCTCTGACGAAACCGTGGACATTGTTGTGTTGTGCTGTGTTTTCCTTTACTATTTCTGTACCTTGTTTTGAGTTCCATGGTTTCCGGTGGTGCAATATCTATTCATAGACTGTTGCATATATATATATATATATATATGTATATATATATATATATATATATATAAAGGCTACGCGCAGACCGCGGTAGGAACCGCTGGGCGCGTCTGAAGCATTAGAAACCTGTTGATCCGGATTCGTGGAGGAATCCGGGCAACTACCCGAAAATTTACAATACGGAGATTTGTTTCTCCATCCTCCGTGCGTCGCTTTAGTTCAATCATAGCAGACTTGAGTTTCTCTCTGTCTGCCGGGTCCAAGTATGCGCACACGTGGAGCTTTAGACCCTTCAGCCTATGAAGACGGGACAATAGTAACTTGGGACTTGTCTTTTCGACAAATGTCACCCTCATAGCCCGACTTTTGCCCTCCATTCTCTTTCCTAGACGGGCGATCTGCTGCACTTTGAGCCCGCCCTCGTTTTCATCGAGTAGTGTATCAATCAATGATTGCAAAAACTCGACGTCATGTTCATAGCACACCTGAGGATTGGAATCACCTGATTCAGGTGCGTGAAAGACCATGAGGCTACGGTGCCTCAGGTCGCTAGATATTGCTCTTGGCCTCTTCGGTGTTTGCACTTTCCATTCGTTATCCTCAATTTGCTTATTGCAAATTAGAGCTTTACTGTCAACAGAACACATCGTAGGCCTTGAGGGAGAGCCTGACGGAACGTTAGTACCTTGCTTCCGGGATGGATGCGATGTTTTACTCGGCGCTGGCTGCTTCCCTGACTGTGGTGTAGCACAAGGTGAGCTAGCCATTTTAGAGCACTTCGTTGTACTGATCCACTTGTTAGACTTGTCGGTTCTATTCTGCACAAGTTTAGCTTGGCACTGTTTACAAACGGTTTTCAAAAATTCGTTCTGTATGCTCTGTATTACGCGAAATTGGTCTACAGTCAGACCAACGCACGAAATATGAAGCTTTACACTGCAGAGACTGCATGTAATCACATTTGCTCGATGTCCAACAATTTTGCAGCAAATTCCACAATGAGACTGCTTCGCCATTTCAAAAACGAGTACGATCGATACGAGAAAATCAATGGAATGAAGAAGTACAGAAGTTATGCTAAATTATTACAGGTAGTTATGTCGTAAAACGCTAAATGACGAACTAGACTGAACTACGCCAACTAGAGAACAAAACTGCTATAACAGTGAAATGAGCGAGATAAACTGGACTTGACAGGACACGAGCAAGTTACCACCAGGATCGACAAAAAGCTAGGCAGAAAAAAACGAAAGAATTACGGCAGAAATAGATCCAAATATATCACTGGATAATGTAGAAACAAAAATTATAGAGAATTATATAATTTATGACAACAGATATCAATATATGACACAATAAACTTGAACAAACTGGCCTGGAAACGGAGCGATATATTTCAAACTGGAGGCTGTGCTGTTAGTAGCGACTCCTTTTATATACCATCGTTTGTCATCTCAGTTCTCGGCATTTTATTGATTTTGTGACGCTGCACGTGACGGCCTTGAGTACAAGTCGACGAAATCCAATCTGAACAGCTTGACCAATTGTTCTTGTCTCACGCACTACACATTACAGCGGCACTTCCACTTTAGATAAAGCTTTTCATCCGCCCCACTCGACTGACATTTTCCGCTACTTCCCTCACGTCTTAACTTTGTCGGCCGGTGACCTAGTGGTTTGCGCACCAGATTTGCAATCATAGGGTCGCCGGTTCGAATCCGCGCTACTTGTGGTGGTTGCATGGCAGCGAAGCGCCGTTACGGCGTACAGCTGGCGATTTTTCTTACCATTGGCATTCATGATATAGCACACAACTCATCGGATAGATAGGTTTCTTTGTATGATTTTGCGTCAATTGCATGTGCGCTGTTCACTTTCTCACTCCGTTTTACCTCTCATCTTTTAGGAAAGAAACGAAAGTCGGAGATAAGTGGAACCGATGGATCTGGCTCGCCCGATGTGTTCTACTTTCCTCGAACGGTGTCATTGAAGTTGGAATCTTGTCAAGTTTTCCCCTCAGATGTGGCCACTCTCCCACTCTATTCCTCCTTTCAGTGGTTGCTCGACTTCACCGTGTGTACCATGGGAGTTTATCTCGTCACCGAGATTGCTCAGAGCACTGTGCCACTTTGGATTGCTCACCTCGCTTTCAACAAACCCATTCCCTTCTTTATCTCTGGTAATCAAAATTCTCCATCTTCAGGGGTGTTTCTCATCAACAACAAGCTCAATCTTAGTTTACTGTGGCTTACATTGACCCTGTGGTTTACCGTGCGTACAATGCTTTCCATGACCGGCATTTATTTCCACTCCTCTCGCCAAACCGTTGTTCAATCTAATCCTCCTCAGTCACCCACTGTCCCTGGTACTCACCATTCTGCTTCGGATTCGGATTCGAACGCTGAATGGTTTTTGGTGCTGTCCGCTGCCTTCATCTTCCTCATCCTCAGTGGGTTTTTCCTGGCTTTGGATGGACGTCATTTTGACTTCGGCCTGGCGTCCGGTTACGCCAATTTAACCATGAACACCACAGCTTCCACAAATGTGCCATGGATGAGCTGGGGAGCATTTCACATTATCTTGGCAGTCACATGCGCCACCATTGGCGCTCTGCTTGTGTATCCAGGACTTAAGTTTGGGCGAATATATTTGGATGCTGTGAGGTAGGAAAAACTTTGCCGCATCATGCGTTATCATAGTTTTGCATCGAACTGCTTACTGCTATTTTCTAAACACCCGGGCTCTATACGCTTGAATGGTTTTGACTACCATCAGCTTCGTCTACTTTCATATTTTAACTACATTTCACTCTTGATACAAGAACTTTTTAAAACCAGTTAAACCGGTACATAATTAACATCCGCGAATAACGTGTGTGCCATCGAATATCTACCGTTGTGAATCAAAGGAGCATTCATTTGGCATGGAAAATTTCCACCTGCTCCCGCATTCACAGAGACGAAGGGCGACGTCAACAGTACACCGGCACACCGTACCGACGTTTCGCTGCCACGTCATCACCACTGGCCGTTCGGTCTCTTACGCCGGCTCGAACCGGTGGCCTCCTGGTTACAAAACAAACGCCATGTCTTAGACATCGTACTCACACATAAGTCTTTTGTTCTTGTTAGTGGTGCTACTGACGTTGCTTGTCCGAATTTTGCTGTCCAGTGTCACCAACACCGAGAACAAAATCCTCATGTATTATGCCAGACTACTGGAGAGCTTCCTATGCGTATTGTTTCACTTAATGGCCCTTCGAAATGAAACGGCAATTATCCACTGACTTGCATGGTTCTCCGCAACCACTCTCCTTTCCTATAAAGGCTGCGCCAAATGTATGCTGGTTTGCCTGGCTTGAAGCCTAGTACAAACTATTTCGAATCAATTTTTCTCCAAAATTTCCATAGTTTCTGAACTTCTAGTTAGGCCCAAACTTTCTTCTCGACGTAATTGTGGGACTACTGAATTCATGCCTGTTAGACTCGGAGTTGATGTCCACCGAGAGTCATACCGAGCAACCAATTCGTGGCTGTTGCTCTACGGGGTCTGCGAAATACGTGTCCAATTTTGTCAATCCCGGTAGTTCGATTAATACTACCGATGTGCTCATTAGTACTCGGCACGAAACTCGTTTATGACTGAGTAAACGAAATTACTCTCTAATTAAAATTGCACAGGGCTCTTGTTAATCTATTGGAAAGTAGTGGGTCAGTTTTGTATTATTCTGTAGGTAGTCATATCAGCTGATGAAGCAAGAATACCCCCGAGAACGTTATCAACTTCAATACTAATCACTTTGGTTGCGAAACTTGAAGCATTGCCTGATGTTTCTATGCAGTCTGATGCGCTAAAAGGTTTACGCCGATTTACCTAGACTAGAGCTGCATCGTAACTCAACACAAAAACTTCAAAGCGTAACTTGTATACTAGTTGCACCATCGCGCTTGGCGACAATGCGCTTCGATTTTTTTCCTATTCTATAGAATATGTTATCGATGATAAGCAGGCCGTAGAGCAATAATAAGTCAGTAGGTTTGACGCTTACTCTACCTTGTCATGTTTGCAGCCACGTTAACGTCAAGAAAATGGCTTGCTGTTTTATTTTTGAAGGAGGAACAAGAAATATTTTACAATCCGAAGCGGGGATATCCAAGTATGGCCGATACTTTTTACTGTCGGTAGGTAATCCTTAAGCGAATCAGCGCCACCTGTTGCGCGCTCGTCAAATATCCCCGCAAAAACGCGCCAGAAACTCCGACATAGTGGCCGTGCAAAGCGGAGTCCAATTCCTCCACACAACGTAGCAGTCTTCAGCCACTCCGAGACGCGACCCAACTGCGCACCTGTTGACAATTTTCTTTTGCAAACCACCACCTTGACGTGGTAGCAATTTGCCCTAGCTTAATGACCCATTGCATTGGCTCTGATTCGCCCTTTGTTGGTCGTAAAAAAGCCTTCATAGGACCGCCTGTCTTGCTTCCTCTTCGCCTTAGTTGGGAGTCGGTCGGTCACGTGATTTTGTGTGCGTCGTTAGCCAGGCAGCGTTCGCGTCTAAGTCACTATCGCGCGTCTACCGTAACCCTTTCTCGTGTGCGTCCGTTCCGAGGGATCAATGTCTTCCCGAATACGTGCGGATACCATCGTTCTCACGCTCATTCAATTTCCGTCACACCAGCGCGTACCCCGGGCTAAGCTAACGCCATCAGGTCAGCGCAAATCCATTCGATCGGCCAGCGTTCCAAGCCGTTACCGTAGGCGTACTCTATCCGTGCCAGTGACAATCGTATCAGGCATCTACGCAATCATACCACCACCAATAGAATCCAAGAAGTATTTCCAGGAGCTGGAATCGCAACGAAATGTTGACATCAATTGGAATCCTTCCACCAGCAGTGGACCTCTTGCTTGGTGCGACACGAACACCAGCTAAGTAACAACGTGCACCCATGGTGCAGAATCACATTTGCTTGGCAGCTTCTCAGAGTTTCTGGTCGCACAGGTACGCCGGACATGTACAAAGCGCTCGCATTTTCAAATCCGCGCTTCTCTCTTGCATAAGACCATAGCACACCGATTCTCATGTTACATCAGCAACGTGTATAGACCAAATACTCGTCACTCGAGAAAAATCGTGCTCACACTTGTACTAAATGATCTGTCAATTACAGATGAATAATCAAATTGGTATTCAAAGCTAAATTTGTCAAGCTTGGGAGGGGCAACACCGAACCACTTCCAACCAAATTAGTGCGTTTTTTGATAATTGGTATGCATTTCCAATCGGGGGGAACGATCGTTCTCACAGAGGAGTACTACTATCTTTTTGTATACGTTATCAATTCACGGTGCCGATTTTGGCAAATCAACATAATCGCTTTCATCCATCATCATCATTCATCATTATACACGTTAGCTAGAGATGAGAAACACCTCAGATAGTGTGCCAAAATACATGGAATGGAAAAACGCACCACAAAGGCACGCCAGCTCTGAGCCCCCGTTAGCGTATGAACATCATTCCCGATAACTAGTAGCCTGCTGTTGTGCCGCGACAAATTTATATTGTGCTTCACGGATGACATCGTGGTTGGAGGGGGAAGCTAGACGTGAGGGCGAAGAACAAAGAAACTCACAACACAAACGCCACCGAGGTCGGCCCCTAGCTATACCAACAAGTGTATACACCGAAACGTGTTCATCGTTTTTCGGTCCCAAACCAGGGAGCCGAGAGGCTCCAACCAAGGTCAGCTCCGAACTAAGGGACTTCACTACAAATCAAAGAGGATTTATGTTCTTCGGAGTTTCACCCTGTGTAGCTCAGCTGCTTGTGGACTTGTTCAGTCACTCGGGTGGGACATTGAAGCCCCGTGAGTTACCAATCTATTTTTCGGCATTGAGCTGATCATCCATTCCACGGAGTCGTCCAACTTAATAGTCCAATGTGCTGGATGACAGATCGAAAACATTGTAGGTTCTAAGTTCTCTTATATGTCTTCTCTATCCAGTGTGTCTGCGGTCAACTGAGCCCGTACGCATGTTAGCTGATGGATATAGTTAGACTCTACGTTGTCCTCCACAAAAGGGATAAAGCCGGTGTTCAATCGTTACTGTAATTGTAGTAGATTCCTAATCGTCTGAATAAGTAATCCTGGCATGCTTTTGCTGCACTTATGTAAATGGCAGCTAGGAGAACTGGAACGATCAGTTTGTGGATAGGGATTTTCATACAGTGGGGATGTTTTGAAGCATGCGTTATCAGAATGGATTGCGACCCGCCATCTCCATGCGGACCGTGCTTCGATATCTCTAGTTGATGAGAGCGGACAGGTTCGATTCCAGTCATGGAGTCCAACGTTTTCGGACGGGTAACACCCAATTCCCGTGGGCTCAGCTACGATTATCATTCATTTTTACCATGATGGCGTGATCCGTGAATTCTGAAATTATCTCGTACACAGATCATAGTTTGTTACTTTAGCGGGACGGATCGTGCATATTTATCCTCATGCATTCACACAGTGGTCGTCGCTCTTTAATTACAGTTCTATGACAGCGAAGCATTGGCACAAAATACTAATTGTCATCGCTTCTATCGATAAGGCTTGTTTTCGCATACGTTGACTACATCCTGTTGGGCTGTATGTTGAGTCAACCTATCAAAATCGATACTCTTTTAGGTAGTTTGAATGATACTACAGTTTGTGTCAAATCTTTTTCATTTCCCTTTATTATTTACTTTTCCAGTCGATTCACCACGCCCTGGTACAAGCGCCTGTTGTTCCACCTAACCTTCATCTCCCCTTTGCTACCGATCTTGTTGTGGATTAAACCGGTCACCGATCACCTGTTTCACGCTCTCACTCAGCTCGGTTTCCATCCGACGGTGATTCAGCGACCCGGTCTACAACTGGCGGTTTCCGTGGCCTGTGAGTTGCTCAGCACACATTTGGACACCGTCCGACTTCTGCTTTGCGTTTGGATTCTGCTCCTTCGCGTGGGCATTACTCGATGGTGTTTGCAGGTCAGTCTTTTGCATGTGCACGCCTTTGAGCATTATACATCCACCTTGAATGGGGCTCTTTTTTGCCCCCCCTTTCAGATCGAGTATACGCACGAATCGCAAATGCGCAGTGCAAACAGCAGTAATTCCCTCAGATTTGCCGATTTCTTCTTTTTGTTTTTGTCAATCCCATTCTTTGTTGCTTTCCACCCGCTACTCACTGGGCTCATCGGTTGTCAAACCCTGTCTAACGTCTCATCACCAGGTGCTTCTCGTTGATTTTGAGGACCATTTGTCGGCCCGTGGCCTTAAGACTCGCAAGCCAGCCTTGTAATCTGAGGTCGCGGGTTCGAGCCTGCGTAGGGGCTGGGAGACCTTCGCAGTATCCTTAACTCTGTGGTACGGTTTTCGAATCGGCCGTTGCCTTTACATTGAACATTCTTTTTACTTTTCTACTGCGGATATAATAAATTTTAAAGGAATAATTTGACAGATTTTTTGTCCAAAGTACTTCCAATGTCAACAAGACTGGTATTTTGATTGCAAAGTCCAGATACCGCGCACTGTTGGTTTTGACCACAAACTTTTGCCGATGTGAAAACAATTAAGAACTGACCTCACAAAACCATGCTCTGTCGGCTTGAAAAGAACACGAGGATTCCGTTTACCAATATCCACTCAGTGCTCAAGAACACAGGCCCTTTTACTCGAGTGGTACCATTGCGCTCGTTTTCGTTTTCTGGATCCATTTAGAAAATTTTGCAGTTATCGAAATGTCATGTTACTTAATCCGCAGTTGATAATGTAAAATGTTGAAAATGTGCCCATCCTCGAATTGACTTGCACAAACAAAATTCATTTGTTTTCCATTCACAAACGTGCACCACTAGGCAATTCGAACCATTGTATACTAAAGGTTTGCACTAGCATCTCCACCTGATGAGATGAAATTACATCGAAACGCGTCGTGGCTGTGCAGTGTTTTCTGGCGGGCAACACCCAATTTCCATCTACTTTGAGTACGGTCCCAGTGATCGACGTGACTAAGGTTCACTTCAATGTGAACCACAGTCCTCCATTACATTGAGATTGCGCGTCGCAATCCAATCACACAACGTGTAGTCCAAACTTGACCCTCCAAATAAGAACGTGTTTACAAGCTCAAAATGGCCAGCCTGCGTGTAGCAAGTAAAGCTGAAATAACACGACTAAACATTTATACATTGAAATGCTGCTAAGAAACCGTAGCTGCCGGAATCTTTGGAGATTGTTGATGCAAATCTGTGGTAAAAGTGCCACCGGAGGTAATGTAATGTAAAATGTTGAAAATGCACCCATCTGGGTACCTAAAGCTTACCTTGACTTGACTTGACTTGAATTCACGTGCGACTGATGGTGAGTACGCGGCAACGAAGCGTTGGTGCTGCGTACCGGTGTGCTTCTAACGCTTTTCTTCGAAAGAAAATGCATTTGCGAAACTTTAGCCTTCTTAGGTGGGTTCGGTCTGTTCGGAAAGCGATGATGATACAGAAAATCTTTGAAGCAGTTCCTTCACTCAATTCTCGAACCTCTGGTTTTGTGAATCGATCAACAGTTCAGTTGCTTCAGTTTTTGTCACATTCACTAGGGGGGTTTTCGAACTCACGCGAAGTACGAGTTCGAACGGCACTTAGTTACTGCCAATGATACCAGATTTTTCACCTCACAGCTCCTGACCATCTGCCGCACCCACGATCCATCATGAGTCCTTTTGTAGACTCTGTTTCGGCGTGTTACCGGTTTCATGAAACTGATTGCCTATCGGGACTAACATCAGCGTTCCAATCAAAGTAACCGAAGCAGCTGAAATTCATTCGCCGTTGGGATGCTTCACATTAAGCAGACAAACTGTTTCCTATATCAGATAGAAATTGGGTGCTGCCCGTCCGGAAACACTGCACTCTTAGACGCGTTTCGATGTTATTTCATCTCATCAGGTAGTAGGGATCGAACCCGTGACCGATGAGATGTTAATTGTGCTTGCTACCCCTAAGCCACCGCATCACGACAGGCAACGCTTGGCTAATTGATTCTAATCGGCATATGGCTTATTTATTTCGTTCCTCAGTAACAGCGGATGATGCAACTTGATATCAATGCCTGTTGGACTTTTTACCCATATACAGTCTATTTGAAAGCTTTATTGGAGTTGGGTTAGCGACCACGGAGCGGTTGCTCACTAGGGTTTGGTCGAAATTTCTTCGTGTTTTACCCAAATGAGCCGACAATCTTAACGTGACCTGCACCGTCTCTAACTGATGGCGTTCCGTATCTGGGATAGGGTTTCTTTCAAAGAACATCGAGTAACGCGACACACACTTGCGCTGGAAATTTGTGCTGACACCTAGGAGGTTATAATCACAGAAAAATCAGTGGGTATCCATATTCATGCTCAGTAGAATGACCTTTGACAGTGGGTTCATTGGCGTTATCAAGTGTCCGAAAGACCATCCACCTCAATAATTCTACTACCGGCTACGATTCTGATGCCATATATCCTGTTTTACGGATGAAATTTCTCTGTGGAGTCCACCTTTGGCATCCTTCAGTGTCAGACTGTGTGTCCGTATGCGGACGCGATTAAATGCACTTATTTTCATCTGTCGCCTATTAGATCTGATGGCGTTTCGAAGTTGAACCACATCCAAGCGACTTTTCACTTTGAACCACGCAAGGAGACTGTCGGTAGCTTTCCCAGTTAGAGCAACGCTGACTCCATAAACCTCTAGACATCAACCCATAAAAAATCGTAGGAACAGTACGCCGGACATAGTACTGACGCTTCACTGTCGCGAGGATTCCGCAAACAACTCTTGTCTATTGCCGAAACTATTTACATCCACCATCTGAAGCTGGACTTATGTACACAAAGACGACCCATACAGCCGACACTACTACCGTGGCTTAGTTATCCCTTTGTTACCTTCTCTGTCTATTTAAGACAACTGACGTTTATGTATTGCTGTTTCTTTAATGCACTTGGCTTACCATCTGTAGCCGTCTTGCTTCATCGATTTTGACCGTCCAAACAGCCAAGAATTTAATCCCAGTCCAATTTGACGCTTTCCCCACACAACCAGGGTTAGGTAAACGTTTGGGTCTGAGGAGACTTTACCGAAAAGAATTCTGAACCCTGAACTGATTGCTGGTCTTGATTCCATATCTTGGTATAGCTATTCACTACTGTTCTTGAGTCGACCTCAAGTTGTTCAGCTTGCAAGGGAAGTTTGCGACAATGTCACCAGTGCAGCACAGATATTTCAAACTCCTTGGCTAATCATCAGTGTGAAGTTCACCGTCATCCACTATGGGTGCCCCAAATCGAGTGGCGATCAGTTCTTCGGCTGACTGATGACTTTACCGCACTCAGTTGACACCAGTGGCATACTTACTGCTTCCTTCTATTCCAATTACTTACTTGAAGTTTCTATGCTATCAATACATCTTCAGACTGGGGCTGATTATGATACTAAGCAATATATGTTGCAAAAAGTCTGTCTCGTGGATGCACCACCTTATCTCCATCTGCCGGCTACTGGTCACGCCTGTACAGTGTTTACACGATATAAGCGTCTTCATCCATGCAACTAAATTGGAGTCTGCGGGCTGGCAAGGAGACATGCTGGACCACTTGGACTCCAGAAATAGAGGAGACAGGAACAGAAGGCATTTGGCCTAGATTCTTTAAAATGGTCTCAGGATTTCACACTTCAGTTGTGCATTCAGGAATAGCATGGCTGCTCTCGCGGATACACCACATTCTCTCCATCTGGCAGCTGTATAGTGTTCACATGGTTTAAGCCCCTTCATCTTGAGATTTTGCTTAACTAGTCTAGGTTTCCCATTTTAGTATTCCACTTTGTTGTGTTCCCCCGCATAATAGTAGCTATAAGTCAATCCCCTGATGTCCATTCAGCTATACAGTGTAATTAGCTTTGTATTACACCTGGTGAATGGGCTGTCGCGACGAGATTCTACCTTGACGCATTAATATGGCTTGTGTACCTCTTCGACCCATTGTGCTCTGCTGGGTGGTGCCCTCGGACCCCTTTCCAATCATTCTTACCAAATTGGTCTAGAGCTAAATGTTAGCCAAACTTTATCTTCTGGTCCTCCAAGTTGGGAATGGGACGACGTCTATTTCTGTTTACCCGGTTCTTTGCCATCTCTGTGCCACACACTTTAGTAGAGGACATTATTCATTCTTCTGTTTAGGTTTGGGCCTCCTGGCGGTATCCAAGTCCACGCAAATCCATGATTATCTCATTAAGCCTAAACCATATCCTGCATTGGCGTCTGCGAAGCTTTTAAAAAGTCCTCTTATCTGCTGTATACAGCAGGACTAGTAAGCGAAAACATGTTACTGCTGTTGCCTCTCCTTTCTTTTCCACCCGTTTCTTTTAATACACTCTCGAACCCATTTACTAACCTTCCACGACCCCAAGTTTACTTGACAGCAAACGCAATACCACTGGATTTCTGCTATCTGCATCTATCTTCCCGCACCATCCAATGGGTGCTTATCGGCCGTAGCCCTCTATAGGACCACGCTGTTCCGTTTCACTGGCGGCGTTCAATATTCACACTCCAAGACCAATAAGTAAACAGACTGCACTCGCACACACGTTGGACACCCTGGGTATTGAGGTGTTTTGTGTGTCCGAGGCTCTGGATTGTTGCAATAACTGTATCTGGCTTGTCCTCTCGCTATTGGCTACACGCATCCGGAAACACTAATGTGACTGTAATTAGTCAGGCTGGGGTTGGGCACCGTTCTCAGCTCCAAGGCTGAGTCATCTTTAGTTGATTGGAATCCCGTGAACAGCCGTTTGTGTGTAGTCCGTTTGACGACATCAAGTAAGGTCGATTCAAGAAGTAACCCTAAAAACTCTTTATGGTCGTCCACTACGTTCTCCACCAGCGCCAATCCTGATGCTACCGAGGACACCCTCTACCACGATCGGAACACACTGCTTTTCAGTTTTACTGTTTATGATATCGTTCTAGTTCCTGGGGATGTAAATGCGCATTTGCGTCATTTAAGCTCCGCAAATCCGCCATGTGTAAGTTTAGACTTTATTCTGAACACACTGATGATGGCGAGCGTTCGTCGCAGTTTTGCGCGGAGTATCTGCTGTTTTTTTAGCAGCACCGCTTCAGGATCAGTCGACACCCATCTTTCTGTTGTTGGCTAGCTATGAACCCAAATAGATCACATCACTATGAGTGTTAGGTAGCGT